TATATATATGTCTTCAGTTTTGGAAGTAATGAATTGTGACCAATATATGGCAAAACACAAGTAAATTGAATTGATCAAGGTGGTTCCAAATATATCTTGATTTGAAAATACTATTTGAAACATAGGTAAACCTTTTTAAACCTGTGCTTTCAATAATCCCTCTGTCTACCAAAAAGGTCTTTGAATGCAATGGGTTCTTAATAGAAACCTTAGTTTTACAAATAGCTCTTAAGGCCCTGACACACCCAGCCGACAGTCGGCTATTGGTCAATGTTGGGACGTTGCCCCTCATTGGCTTTTTTTATTTTTTTTATTTGACCGATTCAGCATGTCACATCAGTGATGGGGGAGTGTTGCTGCTAACTGACCTTTGGCTGACTGGTCTTTGTTTCACTGTTACAATCATTAAAAAGCAGAAGCAGCATGTGTATATGCATGTTTCCCTCTTTGAATGACGATTACAGACGACTGCCATCTGCTGATGTAGAGTGTTATTTCCTCTCACGCAGGCGCAGAACATACGTGCTTGTTGACCGTCAACTGTAGTCTCTGCAAGGCGACGTGAGGCAATGCAACAGTTGGCTTTCGTTGCTGCTAGTATTTTGAAGTCGGTTTGGTGTGCCTGGGCCTTCAAAGAATCCTTTCTTCTAAAGAGAGTTCTCTAAGGCAAATGCTTCTGGTTAGAACCTGAGCTCTTCAGGAAGGACCCTTTTTTCTAAGAGTGTATAAATTCTGTCGTAATGGAGACACTGTCTTTGAATTATTTTAATCGTGACTTAAAACATATTAATACAACTGTGATTTTTATCATTTACTTTAATTGTCTTTTTTTGGGTGGAGGAATATGGTTTCAGATTAAATTGTGTCCAGAGATTTTGAGCAAAAATTGTAACATTTTGAGAATAAAGTCAAGCAAGAGAAAGTCAGAATGTGTGGACATTGAAATCATTATATTTCAAAAAATATTTTCATCATTTATTACTTATTTTATTATTAATATTTTGAGAACAAAGTCCCAACATTAAGTAAATATGGTCATATTACAAAGAAAAAGCCATAATGTTTAGAAAAAAAAAGGTCTCAAATATTTCTAAACTTAAGTTGTAATATAACTTGTTGCTTATATGCCACCAAAGAAAAGTAGAGAAGCTGAGAGTATCTTTGGTTGTTGAGAATATTTTTAGGCCTGTTACATCTAGATCACATCCTCAATTATCTTAAAGTAAATAATATTTGCTCATGTTTAGTTTTGTGTCAAACATTGTTTTCTGATGATCAGATTATTGTCTCATCTTGAGATAACGACTGTCTGCAATTCATGATCTTCATAAAAAAGGTTTCATAACTAGTCTTTTATCTCAGCTTCCACAGAATAAAACATTACAGGACCATTTCCTCTCAAAAAAAAACAACAAAAAACTAACACGACATAAAATCATTTTACTCTTATAATCTTATAAACTGTCGGCTATTTTTAAAATAAAACTCACAAATAACTGCTGTAACCAGATCAGCAGATATCTTAATAATAATGCTCTGAAAACACTGGATCCTACATTTCCCACAATGCAACTCTATAGCATTTTTATAAGAAGCTCCCTGCTTGGTAAACTTGAACAACTTTCACACTCCACACCTCCAGTTTGTAACTCAGACTTTCTGTTATACGTTTGTAGTCTCCAAATTAAACCTGAGATTACCCTGATGACATCACTACAATGTCATCAGGGTTATTTTCTCCTCCAGAGTCAGGGACGACATCATGCAATTGTTTTCACAGAGTACTACAGTGTAGAGTAAAAATATTAGTCGCCTTACAGCAAGGTTTGAACCCAGGGTGGGGGAGCCCTTCTGTGTGGACTTTGCATTTTCTCCCCGTGTCACTCCGACTTCCTCCCACAGTCCAAAGACATGCAGGTTAATTGGTGACTCTAAACTGTCCGTATGGGTGAATGTGAGTTGCCTGTCTCTATGTGTCAGCCGTGTGATAGTCTAGTGACCTGTCCAGGGTGTACCCTGCCTCTCACCCACCCAATGTCAGCTGGGATAGGCTCCAGCACCCCTGTGACCCCCAACAGGATAAGCGGTTACAGAAAAGCCACTTCAACATAAAGAAAACGAGACGAGGTGTGAATGTGGTCAGTAGATTATATTATTCTCTTTAAAAAAAGACTTCATTACAAGAATTGACTTCATTCATTTAGACCCAGTCAAAGTCTTTACATACTGTATCACTAACTGCATAACAACATGGAACCACTGCTCAGAGATCAGCTCTGAGTGTCTGGACAGACAGACAGACAGACAGACAGACATCACCTGCTGCACGTGTTCACGGTCAGTAACAATAAGTCAATTGTTGGACATCTGAGCTACTGAGGTGACACAAACATGGACACCTGTGGTGACACAGGAAGCTCCAGAAACATCCAACTCTTGAGATTTAATAATTGATTTTACTGCATCAGGTGGATTTAACACTGATCTTGTTGAATGTTACAATAACACAACAAGGAGGACAGATATCAAGAGGTGAGGTTAATCTATCCCCTTTATTTGAGCAGGAGGAGTGAAATCCGTCTCAGGCTCTTCCCTCTATGTTCATTAATATACCCAGTGCAAAACGTCTGGTGTTCAATTCTACAAAATTACTCACTCTGCCGGCCCAACGTTTTGGTGAAGAGCGAGATGTCTTAGAAGCTATCAGACTGATTGACATGAAATTTGATTCAGAAATTCCTGGTCCCCAAAAGGATAAATCCTGATGATTTTGACTTTTCATCCAGCGTCACTAACAAGACAGTTGTCTTCCATCGGATTCAGCTTGAAATGAATGCTAACACAACATGCTAAACGATGGCATGTTTATCACCTTTCAATTATGAGCTTTAACCATAAAGAGGTAGCACGAGGTTCAGTTCTACCTAGCATGCTAACAGGCTAAACATTACATGGTATCATTAGCATGCTAACATGCTATCTGTAGCTAACTGATTAACAGTTGAGGATGACAAAGTACAGCTCAGACTAATGAAAGCTGAGCTGAGTTTCACAAGCTGAGTTAGAAATGTCCTAAGATGGCCACCATACAAAGAATATACACTTTAGATTTAGGGAACAACATGACCCTGAAGGAACAGTTTACCTCCAGAATTAAAAATACATATTTCTCCTCTTAACCTGTGGTGCTATTTATCAGTCTAGATTGTTGGAGATATCAGCTGCAGAGATGTCTGCGTTCTCGCCAATATAATGGAGCTAGATGACACTCAGCTTGTGGTGCTCAAAGCACCGTAAAAAATACATCTGAAAAACTCAACAGGGATGAACTATTGTATGCAAGGAACTGTTTTCTGTCTACTAAACTGCATCCTCCAACTGTATCACAGCGCAGAAGGAAGCGGGCATCTACTCATGGACGAGAGGCTTGTGTTCAGGACAGCACGTGATGTAAACATTAATGACATCCTCCCCAGCTGAGTCGTAACCATAGATTTTAATAATAACTGGATACTGGATTCCAGTAGTTGCTCGCCTGGTGCACACTCCACAAAAGTTTTCGAAGCTTACAGGTTTACTTCGGTGGTATGCGGCCCACTGACTATGTGCAGTAGTGTTTCTCCCGCTGATCCCATCCGCTAGTTCCCGCTCGGCTCATAGACGTTACAGTGTGATGGCGTCACAGATTTTTACATCGCTTTTCTTGGCTTGAGGAAAGTTTTACAAATATTTAACCACCACGGCTCAAAAATTCAGAATAGAAAGAGTCATAACCTTGTTTGCAGTTCGAGGTGTCAGCTGCAATACTGCGAGTGGCCACTGGGAAAAATTGCTGCAAGGCTGAGTGGCATTCATGGGGGCCTGGCTGTAATGTTGTAGCTAGCTCAGTGGTGCTAGGTGAGCTAGCAGTAGATGCAGCTAACGTCTGTGTAGTGATAAAGCTGGTGGGTGTAGATGGTATAAAGAAATAGTTTCTACTACATCTTCTTGACAACAAAGGTCGAGGTTGAGTTTTTCTAATGTATTTTTTTGGCACTCTGAGCACCACAAGCTGAGTGGCGAGCTAAGAAGCAGCATTTCACTGCCTCTTCTGACTGAAAGTTACAAGCCTGTTTAACTTCTGCTGCACCTGTAACCACAACCAAAAATGATGTCACAGTGTACTGGAGTATACTGGGAGAGGTTAAACCACTAGAGGTCAGCAAAACAAGATCTTCAGGGAGCGTTCACTCTTGAGACACACTTACACATGACTGAAAAATATATTATTTCAAAGCAGAATGTCCCAGATGCAGCCTGACTCAGATATTTATAAATATACTTGATACACTGCAGTTTTTTAATAATAAAAAACTACATTTTGTTCACTTTTTACAGAGCAGTAACCGGTTTGGTACTGAAGCGCACAGTTTTTCATGATAAAAAGAAAGAGCAGTTCACCAAAGCAATTGGATACGTACTCGATTCCTACTCTACAACTGAGTAAAGCTGCACTAATCAATATCTTCATATAAAAAAATGATCAAATTACATTCATCAGGTGGACACAAACATGACTCCACACGGATGATCATGATCCTCTGTGTCTGCTGGATGTGTAAATAACCAAGTCTTTGTTAAAACATTTGCCTTAACAACTTAAAACAATGTGTTAGATGCTATGTTACAATTTGCTCTGCTGCCCACAAGAGGCCATGAGTTAATTAATTGATGCAGCTTTAACTATAATCATTGACTAACCATAACCACATACTGCATTTAGTTAAATCTGTCAGATCAGAAACCCCAGCATCATCAGTTATGATTTCAGACTCTGCTCAAGCAGAAAAACATTTAGAATGATCCTTCAGTGCCTGTTCACAATGCTCTGCAGCTGTCCAGGAAATGAAAATGCATAGTGAATCTAAACAGTGGTGTTCGTATCGCTCTGTAATCCGCCCCACCCACCTGAATACACTCCACATTAGTCCCTTCACCATCTGACAGAAAAATCCCCTCCCTCTAACCCTTTCTCCATTAACGCAGTGTTTATACGAGACATTTACCACCCGACACATTCAGGACATTAGCCTTTGATGTTTTACCTGCAGCTCTGACAGAAGTATAAACCTTCCTGACAGGTCGGGCAGCCTTTTGACAGCTCATGCTTACGCCATCATTTTGAATGATGGACGGTTCAGCCAAGCAGGGCTAAAAATGAGTCCAAATTAATAAGAAAAAAGAAAAACACCTTCTCTTTCCTCCTCTTTTCCTCCTCCTTTCCTCCACCCATCTGCTCCTCTCTCTCTCTGGCACAGTTTGGGTGTTTAGTCAAGTTCATATAAAAAGGCGCCAGGCTTTTTTCCTCCACCCGATGCTACATGATGATTCGTGGCTCTGGGACCGACTCGTTGATGGATTTGTGAGGCAGGACGTTGGCACCATTCAGGTAAAGCTCGTCATTCACGATCACATCCTCCCCCAACACTGTCACGTTCTCCATACGAACCTGACGACACAGTTTAACACAGACGTCATCACCAAACCAGACAACAATCCTATCAGGTATGTACTCTGTATATTTCCAATATGAGATAAGACAGGGAGAGAAAAAAGCAATATCTGATATAATTTGTTCATGCTGCAACAAAGCTAAAGTGTCATAACCCCAATCAACCATTTTTCGCAAAGAAACCGAGGGAGCAAGTGAAAATTGCTGCATTTTTTTTTGTATAATTCTTAAATATTGAGGCCAACCTTCCAGTGAGAATAAACCCTGTTCTGAATTTTTAATTTATACGACACTAACGTTACCACTAACAATGCATAATTCTTTGACTCGTTCAGCACATGCAACAGATGTGGATGTCCACTAATTGGAAGATCAGCGATTCAGTTGGTGGCTCCTCCAGTCTGCATGTCGAAGTATCTTTGAGCAAAATACTGAACAAAGATACTTCGACATGCAGACGAAGTATCGAAGTATCTTTGAGCAAAATACTGAACCCCAATTTGTTCCTGGATGCTGGTCTATCGGTGTGTGAGTGTGCGTAGCAGGTGGCACCTTGTATGGTAGCCTCGGCCACCAGTATATGAATGTGTGTGTGAATGGGTGACTGTGACCCATAGTGTAAAAAGGGGTTTGAGTGGTTGGATGACTAGACAGGTGCTACAGAATGTACAAGGATTGGTTGAATTTGGGTTAATTGTTGCGACATCCCAACATCCTGGTTGGAGGGGCTGACTATATTGACCTGCTGCCTGAGATCTGCTGTGTGTCTATTGGGCGGGTTTAGGAAGGAGATGAGTGTGTTTCATTTTATCCTAACACTTTTTAAATTCTAAATGGTAGATCTTGGCTTATATACACAGTTAAATAAGCCGGCATTACCGTGGTGGCATCTCATGTAAACCTAGGTATAATACTCTCATGTATATAAACGATTTTAATTCTTTGAGAGCTTTTGCCAAAAACTCTCTCCAGGATATCCAGCTCATCTGTCATTTTTTGCACCATGCAGGAGATGGAGGACCGTCCTACTGACAATATTCCAGCTGTTATTTGGGGTTAGGGAATGGGAAGGATTGTGATTTGATTTCAAGCTTTGTTCCCCATCATATATAAGCTTTAAGTTTGATACCTGTTGTAAACATGCTTTATGTAATCCTGTTAAAACTGAATAATAATATTCTTGATTAAAAAAAATCCACATTTGTGCTGTTATCAACTAATCCAACAATAAACTTCAACTACAACTATCAGTGTAAATGTGTTCTGTTCCACATAAACACATAAATCAGACACCATCTTTACTGTGAAAAGCTTTTGTGACCTCCGTCCTCCACTCACCCACTGGCCGACAGAGGAGCTCCACCCCACGATGCAGCTCTCCAGCCAGGAGTGTGATCGAACCCGCGCTCCCTTCAGCACCGTGCAGCGTTTTATCCTCACACCGTCCTCCACGATCACGCCAGCACCGATGGTGACATTGGGGCCAATGGTGCAGTTCTCCCCAATCTGTGCCGTCGGGTCCTGCAGAGGGAAGTCAGGAGGATGGAGGGTTATCACTGAGCACGATTCTTTAATTGACATGAAGCTGCAAGGAGATGAACTCACCACCAGAACGTTGCCTAGGAAACCGGGCCCCGTGTGTAGCCTCTCGGGAGCGTGTTGTCGTAGAGACTGAAGGTACATACACATCCCTGTCAGGAAGTCTTTGGGCTGACCGATGTCCATCCAGAAACCTACAGACAAACAGACGGACAGACAGGCAGACAAACAGCATACAGAGATACAGACAGTGAGGGTAATTAGTTACCATGGAAACAAGGTCACAAGATCAGAAGTTTCATTGTGATCTGCAGCAGGTGGGGTACTGAGGCCACATGAGCAGCCGACACTGACCTCCACAGCTCCCTTGAATCAGACTATAAATCTAAAACCTCCGAATGTATCTGTTATTAGTTTATTTCATTTTGTTTTTTAAGCCCATGTAGGATTGTCTTTATCATGGAAATTAAATAATTCCTCTGAGGAGAAGTCATGTGATCTGAAGAAATTAACACGTCATGTTAACTTAAACTTGTCTTCATATGGTTAAGAATCTGAAACAGCCTGCAGGTTTAAGGTTAAGGACTTGTTTATCTGACTCCAGATTAATTTGAAACCAGGCTGATGAACCGCTTCATTGTGTGTTTATAGTTCAGTAAATCTTCTGCAGGAAATCACAAGAAGCTTCTGTCACTCTCTCACAGTTTAACAAAGTTTTCTGAGCGAAATAAAGCCACTACGACCTGGACCACAGTCAGTGACTCAGACCAGAGTCAGTGACTCGGACCAGAGTCAGTGACTCGGACCAGTCCACCTGCCTGGACTACAGGATGGGAGGGAGGTTTAACTGCTCAGCTAGATGTTTCCACAGAGAGGGATGAGGACAGAGAGATGCACCGATTCCAGATTCCCTCTACTGATTTGGATCATGGCTGATTCTGATCACTACAGAATCCAGGCTGTCTGTGGATAAAGACTGAATTAGCTATCTAGAGACAGCCTTCCTCCAGATGTTTTATTGGTATCAGTGCTTCTCTACAAATGATCCCTCTCCAGAACTACGTGAGTTCAGGTGTGAAGAAAAGCCCAAACACTTACGTCTGGTGGAGGTGTGAGCTGTGAGACCAGAGCGAGGACACAGGTCAACTTCCCACAATATGATCCATTATCATTGTGTTTCTTACATTAAGAAAATAAATCACCACCTGTTTGCTTTCTTGTTAAAGTTAGACAAGGAGATTGATACCACTTTCATGTCTGTATGCTAAATATGAGGCAATCAGCAGCAGCTGGCTAACTTAGCTTAGCATAAAGACTGGTAACAGGGGGAAACAGCTAGGCTGGCTCTGACCGGGCAACACAACACTGGCAATGAAAATATTTGTTAGTTGCAGCTACAAATAAAGAACTGTTACAGATTGTGTTATAGTACTGCAGTAGTAGCAAGTAGTAGTAATAGTTACCCAGTAGCTCCATGGTGTACAGCTGTCCCTCCTCTGCCATGACAGGAAATATCTCTTTCTCTATGGATGTCGGTCTCAGCTGCACACACACAAAAAGTCACACACAAACACATAATTAAACACCAGCAGGAAGTATCAGTGCGTAAAAATGTCAGTGAACGCACAAGAGTTTTGAGGTTAAACTTCCAACTTATGAGGCAGTGTGGTTGTGTGTTTGTGTGTCTGTGTTTGTGTGAGACTCACCTGGATTCTGCTGAGCATGCTGGGATTGAAGATGTACATGCCGGCGTTGATCTTGTTGGAGACAAAGACCTGCGGTTTCTCAACGAAGCGATGTATCCTGCCGCTGTCCGCGTCAAACACCACTACACCGTACTTAGAGGGTTCCTCCACCCGAGTTACCTTCACACACACACACACACACACACACACACACGCATATCCAGCAGCTTTGAATAGCCGGTCTTACATCAAAAGTATATTTGACTGGACATTCAGTTATGTTGTTATTCTAAAGCTGGGCAGATATACTCTAAAAAAACAAACACTTTGTGCTGTCTCTGTCTGTCTCACCACAATGGTTCCCTCCTTGCCGTGGTTGTGGTGGAACTGCAGCAGGTCTTTGAAGGGAAAATCACAGATGACATCTGAGTTGAGGACGAAGAACGGCTCGTTGTCAACGTTCAGCAGCTCTCGAGCCAGCGCCAGAGGGCCCGCTGTACACAAACACACCGAACACACACACGTTAATTTCTCATTTTTATTGATAAAATCGAATTTTCTGGCCTAATGGATCTTGAAATATTTTGCTTCAGTTTGATGGAATATGCAAATTTAATGAGCTAAAATCAGACAGACTAGTTCTTTTATCTGATTTCTTGCGGTTGAATATCCCAAAAAATTACCACAGTTACACTTATAATTACAATGTGATAGAGGATTACCCCTTAGCACGATATTACACTGTAGTTAAAAAGTGTTTTTCCAACTCTCACCATTTCAATCACTTGACACTTAAAATGTGCTTTGTTGTAGCAGAGCAGAGACAGTTTCCTGTCTGTTGTGACGAGAAACTCACCTGTTCCCAGAGGTTCCTTCTCATGAGACAGAGAGATACGAATCCCAAGCTAAGGAGAGAACACAGAAACATTCAGGATACTGCAGACTGAGTACAATAATCATTTCTGGGATACTCAAAATATATCAGAGTTGATAAAAATGTTCATAAACAAACTGCCAGGAGGTGAGATTTACCAGAGTTACAAACCCACGTCACTCTGAGTCCTGAGTTTAATAAAAAGTGTTTTATATTACACAACTGACACCAACACATTTCTGCTGAAAGCTTTCACCACCAGATTCCCTTTTAATAAATGTATATAACTAAGTACGAACCACTTGAATTGCAACTAACGATTATCTACATTCCTGATTGATCTATGATTTAAGACTTTAGAAAACAGTGAAAATGTTCATCACAACTTTCAGAGCTGATGACTTAAATGTTTTTGTACAACCAAAAGATGAAAAGCTCAAAATGTTTCCTTTGCAATTATATGAATCCGCTTTTTTACGTCTGGAGGGGCTCTGGATTTCCAGGGGTCAAGGTTGGGGATCATGGGGTGGTCTTGAGAGACGATCATGGACATGGAGGACCCGCTGTCAGTGACACTGCAGTATAGCTTTAACTCTTATTTGCTGTTTTGCTCAATGTTGGGCATTTCACCTTTGCCTACGATGTCCCTGCCTGTTGTTATTTATTTTGTCTGTTATTGGTTTTTGTCTGGTCTTTTATTTTTGTAAAAACTAATAAAAATCAAGATGAAAAAAAGGGGAAAGTAGGGATTAGACTTTAAGATAATGTAACCTGCAATCTTCACTTTCACTAATTAAAAGCAGTATGGATTGTCAGACAACAGCAGGGAAAGTGCTGTACCATGTATCCTGAACATCACAGACTGACAGTAAGGCATTTAGAACAGCAGAAAAGTGTCCACGCTGGAAAGAGTTGTTGCTGAATTTTTAAAAAATGTTATGTTGTTTGATGCTGTCCGGCACAATTGTGTTGGAGGTAGAGCTCATACATCAGAGGATAAACACAAACTACCTGCATGATGTGATATGTTTTGTGTGATTTGTGTAGTGACCCTCGGTGTGATGTGTGTCACAGCTGTAATACTGTGTCAGTGTGAGACGGCTGTACATACTCTCTCCTCCTGGACTCTCATCTCTCTCTCCAGCAGCTCCGACATGTAGCTCACCGCCAGAATCACATGGTTCACCCCGGCCTGCACACACACACGTACAAACACAGAGCAAAGGTGACCAACTATCTTTAATAAACTCCAACATCAAGTTAAAGCCCTCTGTGTGTTGGCTTTTAAAACTTCTCTTAGTGAAAGTTTCAGCTCCACCTCCGCCGTACCTTCACCAGTGCCTCCACCTGGTGCAGCAGGATGGGCTTGTTGCAGAAGTCCACCAGCGGTTTGGGGACGCTCAGGGTCAGCGGTCTCAACCGGGTCCCGTAACCCCCGACAAGGATCAAAGCATTCATGCTTCTGCCGTTAGCAACAGTTACCAGGGTGACCACAGCTCATCAATGGCAAGACAGCGACCAGCCTGAGCAGGACAGAGGAGACAGTCACTATACAGTAACATAAAATGTGACATGCTGGTTTCTGTGACGGATCAGCGATTTTAAGATCACATGACTCTGAAACCACCAGCTGCCTTGAGGGTTAAGAAAAAACATAGTGATCACATTCTGGCAACAATTAAATCGTAGGCAACTGGACTTTGATTTTGTCTAGAAGACGTTTCGCCTCTTATCCAAGCGGCTTCATCAGTTCTCTGAGAACTGATTCGCCTCTGTTCTCTGAGAACTGATGAAGCCGCTTGGATAAGAGGCGAAATGTCTTCTAGACAAAATCAAAGTCCAGTTGCCTACGATTTAATTGTTGCCAGAATGGAATTGACCTGGATAAATGAGAATATCCACAGACATAGTGATCACATTCAGTGTTTAAATTCCTGCCAACATCCTCCAGCAGCTCACATGTTAATTAGGCAACAACCTGCAAGACAAACATGTTGCACAGGACAAACAGGTGTCTTATTTTTGTGTTTGCTCAATGTTACAGGTAGTTAACACTTGTGAACTAATGTTTACTTTATTACTACTTACATTGGTATACACTGAAGTTGTTTATATTGTCATACAAAATTTACGTGTTATCTTTTTTGCTTGTGTTTTGCAAAATAAGAGCACGGGGCATTTCCAGTGACCATATGTCTTTAAATTAGGAAATAAAGTTGCAATTTGTGAATCCGGTTAAAAATGTTGTATCGTGAAACAGAAGGAATATTTTTCCACCCACATGGTTAAAAGAGTCTCAACATGAGGATATTGGAAATACCTTCAGAACCACCTGGGTTTTTCATTGATTGCTGGGTGTTAACATTTTGCTAAATCAGATGTGACTCAGATGTAACAGTAATACATGACGAGCATTAATTGTGCCGAGATGACTGACTCACTATGACAACAAACCCTCAGGAAGGGTCACTACACAATCATTTTTTGCCCCTGTAATCCGCTAATAGATTTATCAGTTTGTGCAAGTAGGAAGACTAAAAATGAAAAGTTTGTCTAAACAGTGACATTAGAGGAAATTATAAACAATCCCATGGGAGCCTGACTGTTATGTTCCTCCACTTATTTATTCAGATCTTTACTTTAATCTGTAACCCATCATCATGTTCATGAAAGTTCATAATTTGGCCTGTGACAGGTGCTACTGAGATGACCTAAACACTGTCAGTTTGCCTCCATATTTGGGTCAAGAGACAGATTTGCATTAAATGACCTGGGGTCTCATGTATAAACATAGCGTACGCACTAAACGAGTCCTGAAAGAGGTGTATGCCACTTCCCATGGAAAAGTTGTGATCTATAAAAACACACTTGATGGGAGAAACTTTGAAAAATTGGCGATGCAGATGGTGAGGTGGAAGCCTGATTGAAGAAACTGTCAAATATTTTTTGGTGCATGCCATTAAATAATAGATTGATTGATTGATTTTTATTTGTGTCATGCACACACGTGTCACACACGTGTCCAACCTTCATGGGTTTACAAGATCACTGTTACAGTGACGTTGCAGTAACAATCAAAAGTACATGTTATTTAACAACTCAGTCCAGAAACAGAACACTGCCTTCTATCACTGGCCTGGCAAAGAAATTCAGCCACAAAAAAAGGTTGCCCTCAGATAGAGGTTGTCACACTGAAAAGTACATCCCTTATGTTTTCATTTACAGGACAGTAAAACAAGAGGTGAACCTCATTCTCAACTTCACCTAAATTACACAACTCACATTCTGTCCTCCTTCCACTCTCTAAGGCTATTGGTAACGTTCCTGAGCGCATCTGTGCACACAGGGATCATTGTCTTTTGCTTAGATTAGTTAGTTAATTTTTGGCTTCTGGCCATACGCGCATTTTAAGTATGGGTCCTACTCACTGTTTTATAAATGAGACCTCTGGTTTGTGGTCTATATCTTGAAGATATTCTATAAACTTTCTGAAGATCTGGGGATCCTTTATCAAACATATTCGGAGGGAGAGGTGTCACTGTACTGCATTATATTGTGCTTTGAAATGCAAGGATTTCTTTGTCTTGGACTTCTCTTGACCTCTCTTGGTCTTTGTTGAATGGACTCCATTTTTGACCCTCAATGCACTTGTGGATATTTTAATCATCATACAATTGGACATGCATATCTGCACTTTTTTGTGTTGTAAAAGAAATTAAGAAATAAAATCTTAAAACAATAAAGAGACATATGTTTACGTTGTAAGACTTCATTGTATATGGTTTTAGTAGAAGGGGGACAGAGTTTGTGAGAATTAAAGGACATGGGTTCAAAAACACCTAGGGTTTGGTGAACGACTTCTTTATAACTTTGGACAAAATATTTGCTTATTTCACAGAGCAGAACTGTAATGATTCATTCATTCAATAGTTGGAACAAAAACAGGTGATCCTATGACAGAAAGAAACCATGGCCTCTTAGACACTGTGTCACCTCATCACAAGAGTTCATTCATTCTGTAAGGAAGTCAGTACTCTCATGTTACTAACTTCCATATGGTGTCTATATAGTATTAACAATACAGTGACTTACACAGGCAATAAAACGAGGGCACACCGATGAAAGAATATAGAATACATTTCACATAAGAATATAGACTATATTAGAGACTACAGAATATATTCGCCCAAATGTTGTTTTTTTTTTAGATTTCTTTTGGTTCTTTCATTTTAAACAGTTATACTGTATACATATTTTTGGTGTAAGTATTTTTTTTAAATTACTTTAGTGTGATTATTTATATTCTGAATTTATCTTTCTTGTCTATGCGCCAAAAAAGCAAATCCCCTGTAAGTTATGTGAAACCCTATTGGTGAATAAGCCGGATTGTGTTTCTGAGTGAAGCAGTTACAGCAGCAGCTCAGTTAGCCACATTAGCTTCCCAGTGATACGGTGCTTTCTTTACAGTCAAAGTGCTTCAATTTCTGAATGAATTCTGGCATTCTTCAGTATAAACTGTATCCCAGAGATAAATACAGACTGTGCTCATGTTTTCTGACACAAATGAACTTACAGTGATTGTGGCTAACTCATGTTAGCTCAGCTAAGATAGCTAACTTACTGCTGACTTGATTTACAGTCATTTTATTTAGGTGCTAACTAGATAGCATTCTGCTGCTGTTTTCAGTCTGTGTGAAAGTTAGTAAACAGGATGAAAACTTACTCACTCACGAGGATTTTGTCCACCAAAAATCTCCAGGATATTTCTGAATCACTCAGACTCTGGGAATGACACGTAAGATCGTTCAAATCCGAATTCCTTGTTTTGTTTCCGGTCGAGCCGAGAAGCGTCAAGTCAGAGAGCGTGACGTAAGCAACATCCGGTCCGGTGATTCAAAATAAAAGCACGTTTTGGCCAGTAAAGCTTCTTAAACCAAACCTTAAGTCAGTTGTTTTTATTTCTTTAATTTATTACTGACTGGTTCTGAAGCTTCCCATTAAAAAAATAGCCTGAACGACATTAGTAAGATCTCTTCAAAGGCTACTGGAGTCAACAGTATATTTCAAAACAGAATTTTTATTCAATATAACGTTTCGCACATCAGCAGAGGAAAGTATATAAATACAGCAATAGCAAAAAAGCCAGATGTAAATCCCACAATACAAAAATATTATAAACATACAGTTATATAGCACTTTATAGCCATTTTGTGAGTTGAATTAGAACATAGTTTTCACACATTTTTCAACATCCTTCAGAAAACAAATTATGTTATCATTGCTAAATATATATTAGTGTGTCTTGAATAAAAAAGGGGGATCTGATACCTACTACAAAATAAAAATACGCAACACAAATATGCCATGCAATAAAGCAAAATCTAATTACAGTTAAAATAAATTACAATCACCCAAACACAAAATAAAAGTAAACAACCTTGTAAATCTAAAATCAACCTTCTCTGTTGCACAATGTGATCTTTTGTGTTATTATTGTAATCTCTATGTCATATCTAAAGTTCTTACATTTTTAAATTGAACAGATACTTAAGACTGTACCATGTAGAGAAGGTTAAATATTCATGCTTTTATCTTTAAGGCCAAATCGCCCAGTTTCCGGTCATCCTGGCAGACTTTGGCGAACTTGACGCTCCTTCTCTCACAGCTGTCACTGACTCGGGGGTGTCGCAATCCACCTGAGTCTCACCCGAAAACACAGATCTCCCCAAATTCTACAGAAACAACGTTTAGGATCTTATATTAAATCCTAATTATCTACTCGAGTAAAAATCGTCACCACTGTTCAACCCATTCTGTCTATTTTACTTAAACTTTAACCTGCGCCCCCTACCATAAGACGTTAATGGTATGTCCCACAAACTGTGGTCCCGCCTCTTCGCGACTTCTGACCTATCAGAGAAAAACAGCGTGGCGACGGAGGGTGGACTCACCGCATTCCACGAACTACAGTTACAAGCTATGAATGAAAAATACATCAGCGGTTTGACAGCTGATTACCTACTTCCGGTTCTCCACCCACTTTAACATATTTGTTGGTATCCATGGAGACATTCCCCTGGTCTCGTGCTGCCTTTAAGTGCTGTTGGAAGTGCAAACTTCAAAATGTTGATTTACCCCAGGGGTAGGGTGGGAAATACCGGTAACAAATAAAAAATAAAAATAAGTTTTGAGGTAATATCTCACGATTTTGATACATTTAGTCAAAACGTTTGACTTACTTTAATATGTATAATTTTTATTTGTTTATAATTATTTTTAAATTAATTTTCTAAGAAATTATAATAAAGTATATTTTTTAATATTTTTTTATTTTTGTAATTTCTATCACAGCTATTTTTTCTTCTATAAGGGGAATGGAGTTCTATAGAGTTATGAGATGTGTCCCAGGTGATTATTTTGTCCCAAAAGAGAATAAATGGACCCAAACAGTCACCAGACATGAAAGCACCTTACTTTTCAGTCACGTCATCCATAGACAAAATCACATCCTCTTGTGCTGCCTTTACGTGTTACTGGAAATATATTAGACTTCAAAACAGAATGCAGAAATCCTGCACCACTTGCAAAATAAAATGTAAAATCTCAGTAGGAACTCATACACATGGTGTCTGGCTCTGTCCTAAAATTCAAGCATTATGGGTAGACATTCTACACGATATGGAAAAATATGGGTGTTGCTTTGTGTATGAATCCTGTCTCTTTACTTCTGGGTCACCCGCATCAAGATGCTACTGTTGGTTGCTCGAGCAGATTGTACAATATTCTTGCATATGCTGTGAGGAAGATTCCTTTTTGTCATGGATAAGTGACAAACTGGCACAAGATAATCATTGAGTGTTTTCCTCTTGAATACCTGACCTGTTTGATTCACTCCACAAAGGGACGACTCATTAAAATATGGACTCCGTACCTCAGTTTCTAAAACAATACTGTGGCTTCAACACTTGCAAACATTTTGCTTGATTGACTTATAGACACTGCACCTATGGATTGTACTGCTGTTTTGAATTCTTATCTAAAGAGTAGACCAATGTTGTGCTGAGCTGTGCGATACTGTTTGTAAAAAGAAGTCAATAAATATACTTGAAAAAAAAAGAAAACAGAATGCACAAGAATGAGTTAAAAATCTAATTAATGTGTGGACTTCAGAGCTGTAGACCCAAACTTTATTTTAAAAAAACTAAAAGGACCACTGAGCAACTTGTTAGGCCAAAATTAATGTGATGTAAAAGTAATAATAAACACTTTTATTAAAATATTAATGTTTCTTTATTACCCATGTCACTGGGTATTGACACCAGTGTCCTAACAGCTGTTTTAGAGGGTGAGTGAGTTTATTCTCTTGGTAAAATGAGCTCAGATTACCAATAATTATCAACCTAGTATGGCGCAGAAGTGCAACTTCCTTTTCTGTATTTTATGTCCCAACCAAATAATTATTTCAAGAAAAATAAAAAGCATAATGCAGTAACAACCCAAACACTGAATATCAGTGATTGAAATTAATTATTGTACTTTAAATAATACAACATGAACTGCACACAGCATTTAATTTAGTGATTTAAAACAGTCTTTCAGTAAATATATCCAGTAAACCTGCAGGAACACGTTTCCATGCTCGGATTTCATTCAAATATAAAGAAATCTAACATTTAAATGTATTTGAAGGAGAAACTGACAGCCTGGTTCTTTAGTGTCTTTTGGTCTGAGGTCAGAGGTTCCAGCGCACATCACAGATCAGGGCGATGTGGTCAGAGGGATGAGCCACGCTGGGCAGAGCCTCGTAGGTGGTGACCTCCTGGTGGCTGGGCAGAGGAATCACCTGCTCCACCTGCACAGAAACACACACAGTAGCATGTTACCTTCTTGTTCAGGACCAAGAGGAAATCTCAAGGGCTGAATAACGAAGCCAACGCCAAGTGCCACAAGCTGCAGTTCCTCTAATGGCCACTTGAGGCTGCTCCGAGAGGGAGTCAATCCTCATAGACCGCCATGTTAAAATGCCAGACTACAGCCTGCTTTGAGTGGCAAGGTGCTGTCCTTTGACAAATGGCTATTATGACGACAACATTGATTCTGTAACGTAACCATGACCCTCTAAGGAGTCAGATATTTGGCTTTTCCTCAAAGTACATTTTTGTTTTATGGTATAAAGATTGTTTTTTGCTTGTAAAAATTAGCATTATCACAGTTAACCATTGCTGCAAATGCACTTTGCTAACTAAGCTAGCAGCTAGCTTTACAGTTAGCTACAGTCTCTTGTCCAAATATGGACACTTCTGGATCCAAAAAGAAAGATGGTGACGGCCAAACTGCCAGACTCAAGGCTCTGAAAGTGGAACCAACAAACCAGTGGGTGACATTTTGGTGGCTATGTCCATTATTTTATACAGTCTATGTACGGGACAAAAGGTTCCTCCTACTTTACTGAAAAGTCCATTCTCAGTCTATTGCGTACTGGAGGCTTCATGTTACTACATCACGCTTGAGTTGGCCACATATTGAACGACAGTTGGTTTCCAAACTAGCTGCGATGTCACAAATCGACTGAAAAATTTCTGGTGAGCAGAGAGAAATTTTCCTCCTTCTGCAGATGATTTTGAGACCGACCTTTTGTTGTGTTCAGACTGACTTTGGGCAGTCCAGTCACATTTCAATCGAGAATATACCTAACTCCTGTTCTAGGTTTAAGCCACATTGGTCTGTCAGCACAAAGTAGAATCTGTCGCAATAAGAGTATTGGCAGCAGCAGTCCCAGCACTAGCAGTGTCAGTATTAGTACCTGCATGCTGTCAGGCTGTATGAAGATGTAGTCCAGACAGCCGTGAAATCCTCCCACGTAGTTTGTGTAAGCTGGCTGGCTGCAGGCGCTCAGCAGAGGGGGGAAGGCAGAGAGCAGTTCCATGCTGCAGGACTCCTCCGGCCCTGAGCTGCTCCAGTCTGCATGCTGCAGAGGAACCACCGCCTCACTGAGCAGCTGGAACACACCTGTGGACAGGAAGAGGAGATAAATACATCTTCATCAAACAGGAAATGTATTTTTAACATCAGTTGCTTCAGGTGAGGTTAATGAAAGACAAAGTTGATACTGCCAGTGCATAGTGCTACTGTGGTCTTGCCTTTAGTTATGGAGTTACCTGAGTTAGGGGTGGAGTTGAAGTCCCCACAAAAGACCAGAGGGGCTCCAGGTGCGACTTTGCTGATCACATGACTCAGGTGTTGCAGAGCCACGCCCATGTGGACCAAGCGAATGTTCCCTCCTTCAAAGGAAATGAATTCAGTTTTTAGAAGTGAAGGGTATAGATCATCACTCTGCTCTCTTGTACTAGTGACTTAGGTGTGTTCATACAGAGGGACGCGTTGTTCTACCTTTCGGGTGCCAGTACAGGTGAGTGTTGGCCACACAGACCTTCCTGCCTGGTTTATTCAGGTCCTCGAGCACACTGACCTGCAGAGAAATCAGTAAGGAGAATCGATTGTCACAACACAGATTCACAAAGCCAAAGACTGAGGGTTTACAACACCGGGGCTGCAACTAACCACTTCTTTCATTATCAGTTATTCTGTCTGTTATATATTTATTTTTTGATTCATCAATAAGCATATTAAATGTCACAAAATAGTAAAAACACCCAACACAATCTCCTGGAGCCCAGCTAGCTCCTCTCTCATAGGGCTCTCAGTTGGTAAAGCAGGTGAACAGCGGTACCTGCAGTGTGGTGGACCTCTTCACTATCAAGTCCATCAGGGCACTGTTAGCAGAAACTCTCTCCAGCAGCGTAGAATGAATGGG